GAATAAGAGTCCGTAATTGCAGGGAGTTTTGAATATTGTGCCACGACCATGGTGCTGCATTGAAAAATCTGTGTTGATCCTGGGAATAGTGTAAAGAACACGACTTGAAGAGTGTGAGTTGTAACCACTGTTAGCTACAGACATGAGGTGACAGGTATGGAGGGAGTTTACCCAGGATGGCCTTGTAAATGAAAATCCTAGTATAGTTTAGCAGCTGAACAGCAGATGGAATAAAGGAGTGCTTTTATCTATTGGTCCAAACTGGTTGATATTTAAAACGGGAACCAGAGGGTAGAAACTGGAATCCGCTATGTAGGGGATGGGTGTAATTGTATTAATTGTAACTGTAATTATACTTGTAAATTTTTATGTGTGTGTGATTCGATTCTTAAGTTTGTTATTCGTATTCATACATTTGTCATTTGGACTAATAAATTAGTGATTTTTACTCACAGATTTTTGATTCATACTTGCAAATTTGTAATTCTTATTTTTAAATTTGTCAATTTTTGATTTGTTTAACCACTTTAGCAAAAATGTATTTTTTTATTGTATTCTCACAGATGAAAATCTGCGCAAAGCTAATCCTTTTACATTTTTGTATGTTATTAACTTCGATTTACAAATTCAGACATCTATACATAAGTTTATTTTGGCAGTTAAGCTTAATTTTAGAAATATTCATTTGTTTTTTATTTAATTTGATTTGTTTGTCTGTATTAATGCTGTGTGCAGACTGCTTTTCTCAAATTCTGGTTAATGTAAGGAAAGAGGAGATAACTGAGCTAAAAGATGTTGTTAGGGGACAAAAATAGTTATGACGCCTGATCAGACTGAAGCGTTTTGATTCTCTGATGTAGGATTTACTAGGGAGGGGTCACCTATCCCATAAGTGTGAATTACCCATGTCATTATTATGAAATATTTTCCCAAGGCCAGAGGATGGAAAAAGTTTAAACCATAATTTAAAAAAGCCCCTGACAGATTAAGATAAGAAAAAATACTTTGATTCAGTCAAGCTTTTTCTCTGATACTTTTTAATTTAGGCCCTTTAAAACACAGCGTGTCTAAAACATTTATATCCACCTCTGTGAGCAATAACAAATCTTTTGTGGTATACAGTTACCCACATCTTTCTAATAATTACACATGTTTCCAGCTGTATTTCGACCTTATCATGCCTGTGTTACCTTAACCCGAACCTTAACTCGTTCACGGTATTTCACGGTATTTCACGGTATTTCA